TATTAGGGCACTGACAGCACAGCTGAGGACCTAATCACTCTGGCAACATCCCTACGTCCGAGCGTTGCCTGGTAGATCAATGCGTCTAGAATGAGGTACTCATCACTCTGATGGCTACCGAGGGGCAACAGCATATAATGTGACGATGGTATGTAGCTGTGTAATCCCGGAAGGTCTACACTAGCAACCAGTATTCATGGTAAGTTATGTCAGGAGATATTGGTAGTGGCTATGGAAGTGGTTACTGTGACAGGAGTAGGAAGCACCTGTGATGAGTGCGTGATCAGGACTGGGGGTTGAACGTGTATATTGTTGGTAAAACACGAAGTAATACAAATTGGGTGCCGTCACGAAGTCAGCTGTCCGTCACGAAGTCGGTGAATAATTTCAATTAACTGGTATCTCGAAATACATAAAACGTTGTCTCTCCCTTCCCTCCTCTACTCCAAGCGCCTCGCTAATAAGCTAAATCAGACCCCTGCCAGTGTCCTAACGACAACCTGAATATCGCAAGTACATAGAACAATTCACACTACCCAAATGTGATCCTTTTACTGACATATATAAAGAAGCAATACTTCCGCAGACAAATAGTTAACCAATTTACCATTGCCCATTCTAACGCATCTTCGCACTACAGCTACATCAATTATATCTGCATATCCATAATCATCTGCATCCATTTCAGGTATTCCTCTGTCTTCTCATGACCTCGTTTTTATAACAAGTATAAAGCTGTCGAGGTCGTCTTGGGCTGCGGAGATAGCATCCGCCGCAGTGTTTCCAATTCTGACAATAGCTACATCATCAGCATAACCAAACCTGCTCGTTAGACCATGATCTTTAAAAAGCACAGCGATGTAGAGCATGAAATGAAGTGGCGATAGTGGCGAGCCCTGAGGTACTCCATATTCCAGTATCTTCTCTTCTGTGATTCCACCGCGGTATTTGACCTGAACCTTTCGTTGGTAAAGAAATGTCTGAATAAACCGGCACAGGGATCGTGGCCAGCCTTGTTCTCGAAGGCGTTTGAGCTGTCGGTTGTGAAGGACTGCATCAAATGCACCTTGAATGTCAAGTGTGACCATGGCCGCACACTCCAAAGTATAGGACTCAGTATAGACTTAAACTTGAAACAATTAATTATTTCTTTTGCGAACATAGAGGTCAAAGTATCCCTCAAAGCTAAGATATGCACGATATAGGTAAATTTGAGATCTCCGGCGTTGGATTAGTTTCTGTTTGTACATCGGATCTCACTCGTTTTAATGCGTTCAAAAATGCTAGAAAACAATTGGTAGATTTTTGACTATCCTCTTCCTTTTTTTTCATCCCTCAAGCACTAACACCTACATTACAACAGAGGTGACTGTCATAAACTTCTTATCTTATCTACATTACAAGACGGAGTTTAGCATCCAAGCCTAGATCACGTGCCAAGTTGACCAACACTTATTGAAGTTTATATCTGAGACAAGCCTTTTATCCCTCCGCCAGTCAGCTATAAACTGAAGATCCAGATCGAAATACCTTTGTCAAACTTGTCATAATCTGGCGAAATCAAGCATTTGACCTCAAATTCGAACCCTAGGCCAATTCAAATAAATTAAGTGGAGGGCAAGACTCAAAACCTGTACGCAGTGCCTTCTACGCACCTGGGAGTGAAACATTCTCCCAGAGCCAAGCTCAGTCAAATTTCGTAACACCAAAGAAGTTGGCCCACGAGGCAATGATTTAAAATACTCCGCCACGTCAACTTTTCACTCTCAACGAGTTCGAATCCTATCCAATCCTCATCAAGTCTACAAGTACGACCTAGTACATCCTCATTCCAATGATCACACCTCTTGTCGACTTTCTCTGGCCTCAGCCGGTCACCAAATACACGCCCACGATAATACCAATACCCGCAGGAGGACAAAAATAGAGGCACACAAACTTGAGAGGCAGCTCTTTGGCATGGACTTGAGAGATATCAGGACAGGTTCACAAGATGATGCAAAGGAAAGAAACTATCTCGATGTGTGTGAGATTTCGAATTATGGCAAGGAGGTTTAAATCTTGAGGAGAATTGTCCGTGTCTGGCTTTAGAGAGCTAAAGTGCAGCTGACACTATAAACACAAGCCAACGACGGAAGCTGCTTTGGTCCGCCTCCTGAAAGTTGTCTCGGGCATAGTTTTAGTAGCCTAGGCACCTACTCCACTTGGAAAGGAGACGCTTCAGATCATATTCGCGCGGAGAAAAGTAAATGAATGATGGAGGCATTTCTGGATAAGTCAGGCTTTTTTGAGAAGTTCCCCTGGGTGGATGTTCACGGATGAGGGTTGACTTGGGGTGAAGAAAAAGTCGCCATGACTTCGCAGTGGTACTTTCAAATGAAATCCCAGGCATAAGTTCTCTTGTATATTGAGTCATCTTCTCTCTAACTTTTCTCCTCTATTGTGTAATCGCCAGATAGCTAGATAGCTGCATACACAATTAAAATCTGAATCAAAAAAAATTAATGCTTTATCCAAAATAATTGCCGGCAAAGACAAATTCTTCACCTTCCACTGGTGCTGGAGTAATCGCTCAGTACTGCATATCTGTGATAGCCAAGAACGATCGCATCTGAATCGAAGTCGAAAGCAAACACATGCATATCTCAATTTGAAAACTTCTCAATCATGCAGTACTCACCATTATCTTCTGAGTCCTCAACCCATCTCTAACCATGCATCATCTCGCCTCAACGACCAATAAAGAAGTTGCTCCAATTTCATACAGGAGCTCGACCCATTAATTTCCAGCCATCACTCACTACATATTTACGACGCTATTTATACCCGCAAGGAGGAAATCAAGTCGACAAATACAAAGCCTGGTTCTTGGCTTATGGGGGACTGTTGCTCTAATGGGATAGACAACTTGAGGTAGAATAGGCTGCTGATATGTAGAGTGAGAGTTGGAACAAGTCTCTTCTGACCATGCTAGGACCGATATTTTCGAGTGGTTATCAACTTTGGAACGCTTGTGGACGCCAAGTCTGAGATATTGGATAAGTAGCCAGGAGGGCTTCTTTTGTCGATGAGTCAACGGCGCTTCCCAGCGCCCTAGACGGCACAAAAGAAGTTAGGCTAAGCTACCGTACAGCAATCACGCTCTGTCAAGACATTTCTAGCATTTCAGCCCGACCTTCGGGAAGGAGTTGGAAGGAGGCTAGAAAGGCAGAGAGTGAATTTCCCGAGGTACCCACAAGTCTGCAGCGCCCAGCTGGCCGGCCTCTTCGAACGCTTCAGAAGGGTCACTATGTCTTCGGATTTAGTCGTAATGTCGGTATTAGAAGAGCCCCGCACCCAGTGGTTTTTGCGACTTTTCCCGGCTGCCATATAACCGCAAATGGCCATCGTTTCGTTGGCTGGAGAGGGGAGATAATGAAGGGCAGAGGGCTCCTCTTAGTGCATGATCGAATGAGGACTTATGAGGGGTGGTACTGTTTGAGGGGAGCTGTATGGGAGGCACAGGAGGGGATATACTACTGGTATAGGTATCCTTGGCCTGTACGCAGAGAGGACCTGCATATCCTACATAGTCATAGACTCAGACAGGACAATAAAATGAATTAATAGTTAATAATGATATCGAAAATAATTATCACTGTCCATGGTTTTAAATTTTCTTGAAAGATCTTTCCCTACTCAAGTCGTGACCTTCTCCACACTTATTTGATTATCTACTAACGAATTGTATAAGCAAAAGTTATCTGAAAGATACAAGAGTAATTCTAACACTATACGACAGATACAAGTAGTGAAGTGCCTTCAAAATATGAGTCTTGATTACATTTATGTTTGAGCCGAGATCACTATAAACTCGAACAATGACGGATCTCAGTGGAAAAATCAGTTATAAATATTCGTTAGTACGTAAAGTAGAGTACCCTTTTAAGGTGAGGGCACAGATACCTCGATTTTACAATCTTCACATCATATCTTGCCTGCAGTCAGTAATATGACAGTGACATGATTCGTTCAGACAGCTTTTCAAGCGTCAAAGCCAGAGATGTTGAAAACCGAAACAAGCATAGGCAAGAAAATGGGAAGAAAACGGAATAAAATCAGAGATGACTCCAGCGGATGATTCCACGGGGCTCTCAAATAAGTAAATAACACCTTGATGAAATGAGATCCTATGGCGAGGTAAAGCTAGAGTTCAGAGGAAGAGACAAATTGTAAAGATCAATGGATTCAAAGGCTCAGGGACGTGTTGGCAACGCCAGAGAAGGAACTTGAACTTCAGAGCGTCTATAATGCGTTCTCTAGATTGTTAGATCTGACGTGTTCAACATATGGGTGAGTTCTGAGATGGTCTGGTCATTCAGGTAGGAAGAGGTTCATGCATGTATGGAAATTGACTTTGACCAGCCCAGCCATATCCATGTTTAAACTCTAAATAAAGTGTGGAGAGTCTCAATTGCCTAGTATGTTAATTTACAAACATACGACCTCCGGTTTGTGACGAGGTACGAGTGATGAGTGATGAGTGGCATGGAACGGATGTTTGGAAAGCAGAGGCTTGTTGACTAGGGACGTGCATTTCTGTTGTACCCAGATATTTTTTGAAAGTTTTCTCGGCTTTCGTACACCCACACATGGTCTTCGTTTCATTGGTGCAGAGAGGGGACAATGTTTGGCAAAATTTACTATTAGGTGTGACATTAAAAAAAAGACTTGTAAGGGATGACACCCTTGAGAGAGGGGTGAGTAGGAAATATTAGAATTATGGGCCTACAGGTAGACAATACTCATATATACTCTTTGGTAACATCATAAAAATAGACTAAAATAATAGTCAATAAATGGCACTAGTCTTCACTCGGTATAATCTCCCGCTACTAGCTCGGATTGCTTGCTACTTTACTTGCACATGATTGGTCGCGGATTTAGGACGTAGCCTTGAGACACACATAATTCCTCTACACAGATCCTCCAGGGAACGAGAATAAACAACTGTATTTGATATGAGGTCTACCCTAAATCCTACAGCACCATCTCCGTCACTGCTTCGATATCTCAAAGCTCAATTCGATGGTCTCGCATGCTCACGACCTCGCCACGTCCGAGAATTCAATTCGGCAGGTCCGAAACATTTTTGGGCCTCATCGACAAAAAATCTTACGATTCAGAACTTAAAACAACGCTCACATCACATCATTGCCGCTCAGACGACGCCCGTCGTTGTCGGCCTTTCGGGCTATTATAGCGCATGCCATCACTTAGGCGCATCACGTCGTCGCCGCACGGTGCGCAGGGGAAACTCGACCGCAGGCCCTTCCACGGTACAACAACGGTTTGCATCAACGCAGGTCAAATGGCTCGAAAAAATCTGGAAGGCCAGTCCCGCAAACGGTAATGTTTCCTTACACCCTGATGATCTTCCCAAGGCTCGGCCCGACGAAAACAACGACTCGTCCATTTTTAGCCTAGGAAGACACATTTCTGCTAAAGCCGCTGCGCAACCCAAGCTGCGCTGTACGGAAATAGACGAGAATGGAAATGTTGTCTTAGCAAGTGGAGAATTTAAAAAGAGTGAACTAATCGCCAAAGTATGTCAATCCTGACCGATCTAACTTAAGATTGGTACTAATATGGTACAAGTACGGACTTTTACCCAGGGATCTTAGAAAGATTGACTCCAGTCTTCTACCCCACATACTCATTCGTCCATCTGCTATTCTAATCAACCTTCTTCACCTTCGTGTCCTTATCAAATCTGATCGAGTCCTTGTTTTTGACGCGTATGGCACCTCTGATTCATTTAATCAGTCCGCTTTCATATATGACTTGGAGGATAAACTAAGACACAAACAAAATCCTATATCAGCCGGTGGTCTACCATATGAATTCCGGGCCCTTGAGTCAGTACTATTATCAGTCATAACATCACTCGAGGCGGAGTTTGAGGGCGTCAGAACACCAGTTGTGAGGGTACTCCGGGATCTAGAAGAAGATATCGACCGAGACAAGTTGCGTCTATTGCTAATTTACTCAAAAAAGCTTGGTACCTTTGAACAGAGGGCAAAACTCGTGCGAGATGCCATCGACGAGCTCCTAGATGCAGATGACGATCTCGCGTCGATGTATCTAACTGAGAAGAGCCAAAATATTGTTCGAGGAGAAGAAGATCACACCGAGGTTGAGATGCTTCTCGAATCATATCATAAATTATGCGATGAGATTGTACAGGAGTCTGGAAATCTTGTCTCAAATATACGGAATACAGAGGAAATGTAAGTGTTCAAAGGAACCCAAGGCGTTCTGAGGGCTAAAATTAAATCAGTGTCAAAGCTATTCTAGATGCTAACCGTAATTCTCTAATGCTCCTGGATCTCAAATTTTCCATTGGTACTCTCGGTATTGGGTCTGGCGCGTTTATTGCCGCGCTCTATGGCATGAATCTTAAGAATTACATGGAAGAATCGGATCTCGGGTTTATGGGTATCACTGGCTGGAGTCTAGTTTTCTCTGCTGTCGTCTGTGCCTACGGACTCTCCAAGTTACGAAAAGTTCAGAGGCTAAGCATGTGGGGCGAAAGCGGACGTCGAGGGCGTAGCTGGAGGGATGAAGATAGCCGGGCCTTGTTTAACCAAGAGATTGAGGCAGGAAGACGACTAGAGCGGCAGCGCAGTATTCGAGACAAGCCACGAGCATGAAGACATTTACGTAGCGATTTCATATGTTGCCGCCTCAGACAACGTTGTAATTATCTCATCACGACAATGTTCTCTCTAATTTTATAGGTACCCTGCTATGGTTCCAGAGAATGGGTTTATGATGTCAAATTCATAGGTGCACCACTGATATGGCAATAGTAATAATTTAATCTTAATATTACATCCATAAACTTTAAGATTTACATGAGCAATGTAACCAAAAACATCCAATTTTCCGCAGAGCTTCGTTTCGACGATAAATCAGCTACTTTAGTCCAGACTAGACCTTAAACTACAAAATTGAAGATTTTGTAGTGAAATAATATTGGCAAATGATCTTCAAGGACAGATATTGAAGCCGAGATTATGCGGTAAAGTCGCTACAAGACCAAATGGCTCAGGAAAGAAGAAAATCATGATACAATAAGTAACCGGAGCTTGGTTTGAAGATTAACGGGGAAAGGTAGCGAGGATGAGGATAGGTCAGGTAAAGAAATTCTTTCAATCACGGGACATATCTAGCCTAAAGACACTTGCGAGAAAGGAGAGCGCTAGAGTATTGGAGAAAGAGAGCCCACTGCTAGACAAGAGTCCGCAAACCTGACCAGGCGGTATGGCCAACGTCTCAGCCGCGGAATACGTAGTAAGTAGGTTCGTCCACTGGGGCAGTAGCTAGCTCTTGCGATACGCTTCCGGCCCAAGCATTAGCTCAGGTCTGACGAGCCGATCAAAGTCTTCTTCGCTGAGCGCCTGCAGTTCCATGGCTGACTCTTTCAGGGTGAGCCCCTTCTTGTGTGCGTTTTTCGCAACTTTACTGGCCATATCGTATCCAATCTTGGGGTTCAGGCAAGTCACCAACATGAGCCTGTGGCATAACATTAGGCAAGTGCTAGCTATGATGGACAAGGAAGTGTCACTTACGATTCCTGTAAAATAGTAGCAATTTTCTTTTCGTTGGCAACAAGACCATGCACTAGATTCTTTTCGAAGCTACGCATACCGTCTGTGAGAATACGCAGGCTGTGAAGAAAGTTACGGATGATAATTGGCTTGAAGACATTAAGTTCGAATTGTCCATTCATGCCACCAATCGTAGTGGCGACGTTGTTTCCCATCACCTGTGCGCATATCATAGTCAATGCTTCACATTGAGTGGGGTTCACTTTTCCAGGCATGATGCTGCTTCCCGGCTCGTTCTCAGGCAACGAAAGTTCCCCGAGGCCGCAGCGAGGACCAGATCCAAGGTATCTGATGTCCTGAGCAATTTTAAAGAGAGATCCCGACAAGGTATTGAGAGATCCATGGGCTTCGACAAGGGCATCGTGAGCGGCAAGAGCTTCGAACTTGTTTGGGGCTGTCTTGAAGACTGTGCCAGTCATTTGAGTGACTTCAGTCGCAATTGCTTCGGCAAAACCTTGGTAGGTATTAATACCAGTGCCGACTGCAGTCCCACCTTGCGCGAGTAGCCGAAGATCTGATAGCGAGGCCTCCACCCGCTTGGCCCCAAGGTCGAGTTGTGCAACGTATCCAGAGAATTCTTGAGCTAGGGTAAGAGGAGTTGCATCCTGGAGATGAGTTCGGCCGATCTTGATGATATTCTGTTCTGTGAAATAATCGACCTTGGCTTGCAGCGCACTGCGCAACGACTTGATGGCTGGAAGGAGCTCATTCTCGGTTTCCAAGACCGCCGCAATATGCATGACGGTTGGAAAAGTATCATTAGAGGAAGCGCTCATGTTGACGTGGTCATTGGGATGAACTGGCTTCTTGCTGCCCATCTTTCCCCCTAGAATCTCAATGGCACGGTTGGAAATAACCTCATTCGCATTCATGTTTGACTGCGTCCCAGAACCGGTTTGCCAGACTACCAAGGGAAAGTGATCAAGCAGCTTGAGGTCAGCGACTTCCTTCGCAGCTGTCTGAATAGCCGCTCCAATCTTGGGATCTATCAACTAGTCAGCTACATTTAGCCTAACACTTTCTCAACCTAGTTTGTGATTACCAAGTCCATACTGCATGTTAACTGTTGCTGCAGCCCCTTTCAAGATACCAAATGCCTTGATAATAGGCGGCGGCATTCGGTCCTGGGGCTGATTGATTTTGAAATTTTCCAGAGACCTTTCCGTTTGGGCACCCCAATATCGGTCTGCACGTACCTGAACTTCGCCAAAGGCATCAGTTTCCGTGCGAGTTTCAATACTAGAATGTGAATTTGAGAGGAGGCGTCTCGCGTGGCCGAGCCCATTTTTTGTTAAGGGATTGAGTGGTTTTAAACATGAGCGGTTTCTTGAGTGATTTGATATATTAACGGCGGTTTGCTGAGTAGTGTAGGCCAACGATAGTCTTGTTCGCAAGGTACTAGCGGGTTGTGATGTTATTCTCCGTAGGCTTGTTAGAACCGCCGAGTTCTGGCGTTGTGAAGAGCGTATCATGATGTTAGCCAATGACCTTGATAAATTATATTAGCTTCGCTGTTTAGAAATTCGCGCGAGAACTTTCGTGAGATCTGAGGCAACAGCGTAAGCTATGTCAATGAAAGCGGTCGACAACAGAGTTTCCCACGACAATTAACTCAAGACATGAGGAAGTTACTGCACTGGTAATATCCAACTGCTTGTTACTAATGTTAATGAGCTACGTGAATGCCAATTACGCCTCTGAACATAATACGTAACCCACAACTTGCTAGTCGCACGGGCAGAAAAGATGAGACAGGTTGACTGCACTAACTCAAATTTGATGCAGGAGAACAAAGACTGAACACTTGTCTGCGATATCCTTTACGAGCCCGGCAGTGATATATTATTCAAGAGCCAAGTGCAGTCAAATTTTGCAGTACTGAAGAAGTTGACCCACAAGGCAGAGATTCAATATACTCCACCACATCAATTTTTACTCCCAACGAGGATGACTCCTACCTAAATCTCATCTAGTCCGCAGATATAATCTTGCACATCCTCATTTCAATTACCATACTTCTTGACTATTATTCTATGGCCCCAGCTGGTCACCAAATACACGCCCACGATAATACCAATACCCGCAGGAGGACAAAAATAGAGCCACACAAACTTGAGAGGCAGCTCTTTGGCATGGACTTGAGAGATATCAGGACAGGTTCACAAGATGATGCAAAGGAAAGAAACTATCTCGATGTGTATGAGATTTCGAATTATGGCAAGGAGGTTTAAATCTTGAGGAGAATTGTCCGTGTCTGGCTTTAGAGAGCTAAAGTGCAGCTGACACTATAAACACAAGCCAACGACGGAAGCTGCTCTGGTCCGCCTCCTGAAAGTTGTCTCGGGCATAGTTTTAGTAGCCTAGGCACCTACTCCACTTGGAAAGGAGACGCTTCAGATCATATTCGCGCGGAGAAAAGTAAATGAATGATGGAGGCATTTCTGGATAAGTCAGGCTTTTTTGAGAAGTTCCCCTGGGTGGATGTTCACGGATGAGGGTTGACTTGGGGTGAAGAAAAAGTCGCCATGACTTCGCAGTGGTACTTTCAAATGAAATCCGAGGGATGGGTGATCTTCTTATATATTGAGTAATCCTTTCTATGACTTTTCTCCGATATTGTCATGTTTCAAAGAAGGGAGATCTAGATGAATATGCGCACCTCATGTAGTCCCGGTATCTAGGCCTCGCCTGGCTGTGGCTGCAGGTTTTTTGAGACTTTTTCCCGCGCACGCAGTTTCCATTATCTTTCTTTTTCTCTTTTTTGGGTGGAAGGTTTCATGGAATAGGTAGCAGAATTCCACGGGTGAACACTTAGCTGAATGGCTATTCATCAAGGGAAATATATCAATGATCTTTCAAGTAACAAAAGAGGATAGGAGCACTGTACAAGGTGTAGCCTTGGTCAGAGAGGAGCCCAATGTGCTAGATACTCTAAGGCTCATGTAGCACAATAAACATACCTCTCTCTCCGATATTGTGTCATAGCTAGATAGCTGCATATGTAGTTGAAATTTGATGCAAAAAATATCTAGCTACAACCTACCTAACAATTACCGTACAGTAACATTTATCAGGCAGTGAATTTTGGAAACTACCGGCTCATATGTCATCCAACCAAGCTTACTTATACTCGATCTAATCAATGTATTGATGTTTATGACACCTAGAAATCTAAAGCTTCACGTATACTGATTACATAGTATGAGGATCTCTGAGGTCAGAAGAATAACGTCTCATTTACATGCAGCACCGACCGTGTGTCGTATTAGATTGCCGAAAACATACTACGTATTTCAAAAGATCCGGGCAAGACTTTTCTGCCATAACATAACAATATTCAGTATCTACCTGGGTTGTATAAAGGGCCAGAGAGGCAGACTAAATTCTAATTAGCACGCAAAATTTTGCAAGACTTACCTGGCCAGTCTCATGGAACATTTCAGAACAGTAGTTATGTCTTTGGATCTAGTCCTGCTGTCAGTGTCAGGGAGAACGATGATCAATAGCTCCTCGACTTTTCTTGCAGCCACATACCTGCAAGCAGCCCTTATATTGGTGTTAATAGATGATTGCTAATGTAAGGCAAAAAGCTACCCCAAGGCCTCCGAAACTTCGAGTCAGTTGATGATAGACGGCCAGCTGCGTTAAATTTCCTGGGCGGTCACCTGACTAGGCCTGCTGGGGCTGAAAGGGATGGGATCGACATCAGTAGTTGAGAGCCTCTCTCGGCGAAATGTTGGACCTGGTCAATATCAGGATCAATGGGATATACTATGAGGGCATTATCGTTTCAAACTTTACACGAGGCTTGAAGTCGTTGGGCGCCACAATAAACCATGTGCCCCGCCTGGTTCTCTTATTGATGAACATGAATATTTCAATATATGCTTGTAAGTGCCCAGGAAAGCACAGCCCCTGCTCAGACCTCGAACCTCGGGGAATCATCACAGCTCCACTTGCCCGTATTTGCAAGCTAGCAGGGCTGCGGCAAGCAATCTACAGTCTCTTACGGGTGACAAAGGTAAAATTGTCAAAATGACTGGGGTTAGATCCCTGTACATTTTGCCTTATTTGGTATGATCTTCATGCAGGCCCATGTCTAGTTATTCGACTAGTTATGCAAGCAAGGGGCACTATCCAATGACATTCCGTGAAAGTCTAAATTATGGGGATGGTTTTGAACTCAATGGGAAAGGTACAATAGTCCTCAGTTGAAATTCAAAATTGAAAAACGTCAGTAGATAGTCTCTAAAAATGCACATCTATTTCATAAATTATTGCTCTGTATTACAAAAGTCTACATCGAAGCCCTCAGTATGGCTCGCAACTAAAATGAAAGCGTACTACATGTTTTGTGTGTCTTCTCCATCCTAATACTTTGTGTACCCTCCATTTGCCTTTATCACTGCTACACATCTTTCGTGCATGCTGCCAACTAGTGACAATGGCTCCTCTGAAGATATAGAGTCCCATGCATCCTGAAGCAATGTCTTCAACGTGGCAGAGCGCACAAGCCTGACCCCATTTTTCTCTGGACTATTTACCTGAATGTGGTTTTTTAAGATATTCCACAATGACTCGATCGGGTTCAGGTCCGGAGAGTAAGGTGGCCATCTAATAGGCGTTATTCCAACCTCACGCAGCGCCTCAATTGTTGAGTACGCTTTGTGACATGGTGCGTTGTCGTGCATGTATAAAATTTCTGGATTTTCCGAGTGAAATTGATTCAAAAGTGGCAAAATCCTTTCACAAAAGGATGAGGCCCTCATTGATCCCCAATCCTTCTCCCAGATTAGGAATGGGCCTTTTTGTGATCCATAAAATGATCCCCAAAACATCCAGCTGTTCCCATGAGCATGGCGAGCCACAATACAAGTCTCATCAAACTCATCATCAGGCTAAACTCTGCTGTTAGTAAAAGGAAGATTTAGATAGAATTTAAACGTACTTTTCTTGTGACACGAGGTTTCATATGACAATCACCCGAAACCCAGGTTTCATCAGTCCACAGTATGCGACTCCATTGTTCATCGCTCCAATCTAAATGTAATTGGGCGAACTCCAATCTTTTCTGTTTGTTCACTGCGCTTAACGGAGGCTTCTTCCGGGCAATGCATCTGCTGTAGCCTCTTTTTTTGAGTGCATTAGAAATTAGACGTTCACTGCATCCCCAGTGGCTGGAGATCCCCATGGCTAGTTCCAAATAGCACATCTGCCGATTTTCAGGTGACTCCCGGACGAATGCTTCAAGGTCATCAACTTGTTCTGCGCTTAATTCTGGTAAGGGTCCTTTGCGAGACATAGGATTCTCAGTCTCTCGAGCACACGCAAGTTGTACTTGTCTTATTGTGAAGCCAAGTTTGTCGGATATATTTTGAAGTGTCAAGCCAAGTCTTCTTATTGCTCTTATTTCTATACATTGATCGCGAGTTATATGCTTGCGAACTTTAGTTTCTGAAGCAAACTTTTCGAGAGACATTGTTTGCTAGAATAGAGGATGAATTGATAGTGATGAGAAGTTTCAGTGAATGTGTAAGCTTGGCAGCCAAAAATGTCGTTGAAAATGTGTTTTTCTAAGCGATTATTAGAAGAAGACGATTGGACCATACTTCATGGCGAGCGGGGTAAGGAGGAGAGACATACTAACCTATTACGAGCTAGCCCAACTGCGCCTACAGGGCTAATCCCTTCAACAACCCAGTTTGAAGTTTTACCTTTTGGAACCTAGAGGCACTGTAGATTGACCGACCGGGAAGATGCAGCTGCAGAGCTGGAGATATCATGACGTAGTTTGTTCAGACAGATCGGTGTATCGGTAATGAACTTGTTTTTTTCCGTATTGTCCGACTAGCAGCCACATTTATCAGGGTACAGTGATCGGATAGTCCAGGCGCCTTTTAGTGTATTTCTAGGGCATCATTAAATTGTTTGCAGTGGACCATAGTTCCTCGTGTCGTCGGTATACCCTTCAAACCTTCAGCTCTTGCTGTAGAACCCATAGAGCCGAGATTAGTAACACCAATTCAGCCCTGAGCTACGCTATGCCCCCTTGAAGAGGCGTTTCCGATAACTCCTACGACGACAGTGATGCTGGGCGAGAGAAATTGTGCTACCCACCGGCGGGTGAAGAAAGACTCACGAAATCAAATAAAGAAAGCCTTCAGCCTTCAAGAGAAGCAGATTCCAACTCTCCAACAACATAGCCTTTTCATATCTTCATTTGCGACAATAATAGCCAGGATGGAGAGAGAAGCCGTAAGGTATACACAGACTGCTGCGTCCGGCTAGCCAGCCTCTTCGAATGCTCCAAAAGTGTAGCGTTGCCTTCGAATCTAGTCCTGATGTCGTTATCAGGAGAGCCCTATGCACAGTGCTCTTTAAGACTTTACCCTGGAGGGCAAGACTGAACACCTGTACGCGGTGTCCTCTACGAACCTGGAAGTGAAATATTCTCTCAGAGCCAAGTTCAGTCAAATTTCGCAATATCAAAGAAGTTGGCCCACGAGGCAAAGATTCAAATCACTCCACCATGTCAATCTTTCACTCCCAAAGAGTCCGATTCCTACCTGTGCCTCATCAAGTATACAAGTCCGACCTAGTACACCCTCATTCCAATGATCAAACCCCTCCTCGACTTTCTCTGGCCTCAGCCGGTCACCAAATACACGCCCACTCCGATATTTACACCCGACGGAGGAAGCAAAGCGTGGAGCATAAATCTGGGAGATGGCTCTTTGGGATGGACGTGAGAGGGATCAAGGCAATTTTACAAGATGATGCAGAAGAGGGATATAACCTCGAAGGGCATGAGATTCCGAATTTTGGAAAGGGTTTTACGAATTGAGCTTTTTGCGCGCCAAGACTTCGCTTGCGAGAGTGCAGCTGACACTATAAAAACAAGCAAACGATGGAAGGCACAGTGGTCCACCTCCTGGTGGTGTTCTCTGGTATAGTCTGAGTAGCCTGGGTACCTACTTCACTTGGGAAGGAGATACCTAAGACCACATTTCGCACGGAGAAAAGTCGAAAGATGATGGAGGCATGTCTGGATAACTCAGGGTTTTTGAGATGTTCCCCTGGGTGGGTATTCACGGATGAGGATTGACTTGGGGTGAAGATAAAGCCGCCATAACTTCGCAGTGGTACTTGGAAATGAAATTCGAGGCATGAGTGCTCTTCTTGTTCATTGAGTCATCTATGATACACTTCTCTGGTATTGTGTGTGTGTTTTTTATCGTACTACTTGAGTCTATGACTATCTAGCACATTGGGCTCCTCTCTGACCAAGGCTACACCTTGTACAGTGCTCCTATCCTCTTTTGTTACTTGAAAGATCATTGATATATTTCCCTTGATGAATAGCCATTCAGCTAAGTGTTCACCCGTGGAATTCTGCTACATATTCCATAAAACCTTCCACCCAAAAAAGAGAAAAAGAAAGATAATAATGAAAACTGCGTGCGCGGGAAAAAGTCTCAAAAAACCTGCAGCCCCAGCCAGGCGAGGCCTAGATACTGGGACCACATGAGGTGCGCATATTCATCTATATCTCCCTTCTTTGTAACAGTCGAGGTCGACTTGATCCAATCCACCATCTCCGTATCGGGTGCTGGGTACGCTCCGGAAACTCATCGGATGGCTTTTCCTCCATGATGAAGGATGGATGATAAGAAGGGCTTGGAGCCCAACGTCTAATCGGATCGTGGTTAATTTCATGATAATGGTGATAGGGGGCTTTGTTGAGAGATGAAGACGATACAGAAGGCGAAGGCGATGGGATCCTCATGGAAGTGAGGACTTTTTTGCCCAATCCCGGCTCTGCAGACTCTACAGTTAGAGCCGGAGGTTCGTAGGGGACAACACTGACAGGTGTTGAGAATAGTCCCCCCACAATGAGGTGGTTTTGTTTGTAGAATAGAGATCCGTCCGTGATTGCCCATGAAATGGAAAAGTTAGAAACTTTGAGACCCAAGGATTCGTACTTCACATAATACAAGAGCATTCAGAAAATTTCATCATTCACTGCTGGATGCGGGCCAGCCATCTCACGACTCAAGTAGGATCTGGCCAAACAGTTGAGTATCTACTTGAGTGTCCCACCCGGATAATGTACCTTTGCACCATACTGCCACAGCTGCGCTCACTCAGCCGAAGACTTGGTGCACACAGTGCACAGTGTAAAAAACTTGACCACCTCCGGGGCTATATTTATTGTCGGTATCATCAGGTCAAACTATTCTGATATCTCCGTAATTCCTCCCTATCTTAGTTTGGTTTCAATTGTACTGCTTCCCTCCCAAGATTTATGCGCCGTGATCTCTATCCTCCGCCGATTGAAGCAGTGGGTGTATTTTTTTGTTTATAGTACTACTTAAGTCAATGACTATCTTGGCCGATTAATGGAATCGGGGGTATGTCTTTTGCAGTGCGTGATTGGAATCATTCGAAGGTAAATTACACAATGATATTAAAGCCTCTGTGATGGGGATTTCCTTTTGAGGGCTGTACAAAGGACGAATGCGCTGCATGCTTTAGGACATCTGTCGGCGCGCCGGCCCGTCGGGAGAATGAAACAGCCAGCGCGTGACGTGTAGTTCCGCCTCGGGCACCGACAAGACGCTAAATGGAATAACAAAATAATTAGAACCTCTCTGACTCGACAACGAGGCTCCCGGCTCGTGTCATCACTTCGACAGCGGCCTCAAATGCGAGGGCTTGACGCTGATCAGTAGGCGGCCTGAAACTGTCACAGTGGCTTCCAGGGCAGTCCACTCGCCATCGTTGCATGATGAGCTGGGCATCCGCTCAAATATCCAAGTGACGGTAGAATTGGCGCATTTTATCGTCGAGACCTGCTAATTGCGCTGTTAGGACCGGCCGTTCCCGACAGAGACACGCCACGTCGACCTGCTCCCATTGACAAAAGAAATGCTCATCCACTTCACTATGACTATCTCGGCTATGAACTGGCCTACTGTCTCATCCACGGCAGGCTGGAGATCAGATAGGAGAAGCATGGGTTTCTTGTTTGCTTGCTCTCAAACTTCATGAGCGCGAGGGTCAATCAGAAGAATGAATTCGATAAACTTCAGTGGGCATGGCGCCTAATGCAATTGCGTCGGCCTGCAGTCTCCGCAGCGATGCGTCCACTGTCCCTCATTCCGAAGCATGTTCGAGGGTGTGCGATGATCTGCTTCCCACGCACCTCATACTGCCAAAATGTCCGAGACCCTGCCAGCCATAGCGGGGAATCTTCTGGAAGAGACAAGGCGCTCTTTCGACGCCTGCTCCAAGGGCAGTGCTGGTAGAGATCATCACTGTAGCCATAGCCGACATCCCCCCGATCGGTTGCCTTCTCTGCCGCCCAGACTGGCTGCGCATTGCTTGTATAGAGCCTGCACCTTTAATGAACTCGCCCACTGATCTGCGACCGCGCACCTCCACGACACTCTATATTGCAAGGGCTCTCCAAAATACGCTCTCCTTGAGTCTCCATATCTCTGCATGCGAAATGTCAGCGCCGCACTTTCTGACAGCCCAAGGCCGCCAGTCCGCACAGCCATATCGCTTGTGGACAGGCCAGCCGCCGGCCGTGCCACGAGGCCAAAAGAGCATGGCTGCGCGGTGGGAGAGGAGCCTCATACGAAATTGCCTCGAATCTGCTCAGGCCAGGTCGTGCAGCATTACTTAACCATGCTATCTTCCTCTGTCTCGCCGCACTTAGCACGTATGGTGCCACTGTCTACCTACATCTATATTCTCCTCTTTATATTCCTCTGCGCGTGTCAGCTCTCTTCAAACAAAAAATGCGATCCTACCTCATATTTCCGGCCTGGGCCATGCTGGCCGCAGCTCACTTCACCCTCGAGTACCCTGAATCGCGTGGCTTTGACGAAGATACCCTGGACAAATTCCCATGTGGTGGCCAGAACGATATTTCGGAGATCCGAACTCCCTATCCGCTCTCTAACGGTGTCATTGCCCTCAAAATGGGCCATATCAAGTCTAGAGTCCAGGTCACCATTGCCCTCGACTCGGATCCTACCACAGCTTTTAACACCGTCTTGCGTCCCACATTTCAGGAGACAGGCCTCGGAAAGTTCTGCATGACGGGAATTTCTATTCCCACATCTCTCAATGTTCAAGAAGGAATGAATGCGACTATCCAGGTCCTCACCAGCGGTGATGATGACGGTGGCTTATACAATTGCGCCGATATCGTGTTTAGCGCCGCGGCGCCAGTCCCCGTCACCGATGACTGCCAGAATGCCACGAGTATCAAGGCTTCAGGCTTCATGCCCGGCAACGCGAATGAATCTATGAGTGCAAATGATGGTTCAAAGGGTGACAAGGACGATGATGACAAGGGTGATAAGAAGAGTGGAGCGTTTCAAATACAGAAAATAGGTTTTGGAGGCTCCACAGTAATTGGGCTCGCAACGTTGATAACCATCTTCTTGTAATTGTACGGGGCTGTTAACCGGAGGACTAAAAATGGCCATGAAATTCGATTCAATCAATTCTGTCTTCACTTGAACGAACAGTCGCTCATCGTCCAAAACAGGCTAGAGACGAGTCATTGTTCACGTTGATTTCTTATCTCGCGATTAAATTAGTTAGCTACAAAAAAATACCATGTGATAATCAGAACCCCACCACAAGACCTATAGTTTGGAAGCAGGCTTAGGATTGCTAAAGCTGGTCACTTCACCATAGAGAAGACTATTCAGACATAAATGTTAGCTGCTGAGTTCCTTAGGCTGCAGAGACTTCTACTTACGATGTCAGAAAGTCAGCATAATCTTCACCAGTAACTTGTGATGCCAAATACTTGGCCGCTAGAGAGTATTTACTGTCCGAAGGGGCACAGCTGACCAAATCATCCGTTTGTTCCTGAAGCAACTTCAAGGCATATTTCTTATCAATTTTCTTACCACCGGCCGTCTTGATCCCGTGCTTAACCCATTGCCAGAGCTGGGACCTGCTTACCTCAGCAGTTGCGGCATCCTCCATCAGGTGATTTATAGGCACACATCCAATCCCTCGCAACCAGCTCTCGATATAACAGAGACCAATGTTGATATTTTTTCGTATGCCTTCTTCAGTCACATCTCCTGGAACAAGCATATCCAACAAACTAGACTGAGTCACTCTTACATCTTCGCGTCGTACAAACATCTGGTTAGGTGTAGGCATATGCTGATTAAATACTTCAGACGCAATCGATGCCAGCGCTGGATGAGCTACCCAAGTCCCATCATGTCCCATTGTAACTTCACGGAGCTTATCCTCATGAACTACTCGCATTGCTCTCTCATTCGCAGCCTTATCATCCTTGATGGGTATCTGAGCAGCCATACCACCCATCGCATGTACCTGACGGCGGTGGCATGTTTTAATCAATAACTTTACATACGCATCCATGAATGGGACTTCCATAGTGATCGTAGAGCGATCCGGGAGTACGAATTTGTAGTTATGACGGAACTTCTTAATCACACTAAATATGTAGTCCCAGCGACCACAATTCAGACCTGAGGAGTGATCCCGAAGTTCATAGAGAATTTCATCCATCTCAAAGGCAGCAAGAATATTTTCAATTAGTGCAGTGCCACGGATTGTCCCACGAGGAATTTCCAGGTAATCTTGTGCAAGGTTAAAGACGTCGTTCCAGAGACGAGCTTCGAGATAGCTTTCCATCTTCGGAAGGTAAAAATAGGGTCCTGAACCTTGGTTTAAGAGTTCTCTTGTATTGTGAAAAAAGTAAAGGCCAAAATCGAAAAGTGAGCTAGATACCGGCTTACCGTCTACCATCATATGCATTTCATCTAAGTGCCACCCTCGTGGCCTTACGATCAGTGTGGGCAAACGACGATCTGTTCGTAGCTTGTATTCTTTCTGGCCTTGCTTAAAATCGATTTCCCTTCGAACAGCATCATAGAGGTTAACTTGTCCATTAACCATATTATCCCATGTGGGTGTCGAAGAATCTATCTCGTTTATCTATCAGTCCTGAATTCGATAGACTTGAAGTGTGGGGCAGCCACTGACCTTCAAAGTCTGCCATATAAGTCCATACATCCGAGTTTAGAGCGTTCACCACCATCTTACGATCAGTTGGACCTGTGATTTCCACTCTACGATCAATTAATCCTGGCGCTGGCTTTGCGCATTTCCAGGAATCATCATTTCGAATGTGTTCTGTCTCTGGAAGAAAGTCTGGAAGATATCCTTTGTCGAGTTTGGCCTGTATACATTCACGACGCTCCAGAAGTGTTCTTCGTGTTCTATCGAATGATCTATGTAAAATTGTGATGAAAGTCAGGGCACCACGAGTCAAAATTTTCCGATTCATTTCAGATACTTTTCCCGTAATGTTCACTCCCCCCAAAATGTTTTCTGATATGATCTCACTCATCTTGATTCCGATTGCTGATTTATTCGGAGCTTTTAAGTGATTGGAGCACAGATTCTCGAGAAATGTCTGATTGTAGTCCAATCTTTGGTGGACATGAAATAAAAGTGAGGATTCCAGTTTATCCTATGATACAGGTCAAATATATAGTCATCAGTCATGATATGAGAACATAAAGCCACCTGGGGGCGGCATGTTAGAGCTCGTGAATTTGGAAAGTAGGTAGGAGCGTTGACTCTCTCGATGACGATATCACATGCATCTTGGACAATCCAGTAATATCTTGGTTCTCCGATTAGTCTGACGTTGCATGATGAAATTTACCTTTCATACGACATACGCGCCTTCTGTAGGACTGTATATTTTTCCTAATATACTAGTCGGCCAAAAGGTCAAAAAGGGCAGCCAAACATTGAATTCAGTGACAATACTCATAATCTTTTTAAAACTTAAAACCTCCTGATATCAGAATCAGGATGGGAATCCAGACAGCTTTAACAAACTCAAGTCAAATTTATCTCTAGCCATTCCAAAATTACAGACAAATTGAAGTTAGCCCTTAGACGAGTCGGGAAACTACAGCCGAATCTCTCAAATTTCTAAGAGCTAGCATCCCTACGTATTACTAGAGCACATCCATAACGCTAGAATTGACATTGTTCACCCTCCTAAAGATAAGAAACTCAGTACCTTTACCATAGTATATACTTATAACTTTCTACCAAACCATTATCGAATGAAGAGAAATGGAATTATCGATTGGCATTAAAGTGGTTACATTTAGGATTCATTTAATGTAAAACAAAAGGTTCCTATCTGAAAGTAAAATATTCGTCGGAATACTCGGGTGGTATTTATATCACAAGCTTCATATAGTAGTAATAATAATTGGTGGTTGACATGTATCTTCGTTCTTGTATAATGGATCTTGTGCTGTCTGTTGGTTTCTTTGACCAAAAGGAAAAACTGCGAGTGTCGGAAAGTAGTTCATTGTGCAATGCACTAAGCGTGGTGCACCTCTCTTTTACAGAGTCACTATCTTGATGACTCAGCCAATACCATGAACACACTTTTATACCTTTCATTTTGCACTGAACTAACCTTACGTATACGTACATTAAGGCCAATTGACAGAAAGATCATTGAGCCATTAGATCATTCAACATTATTCTTCTGTTATGGTTTCGTGTTCTTGCTATATCATAGGGGGCGCAAAGTTCACAAGATCTGCTGAGTCATAAAGAGTATGACTCAACAACGCAGGGTTGCATCAAACGTGGATAAACTTACCAACATTAATATCTAGATCTCTACCCATAGGGTGCCTGGTAGGGTTAAATGAAATCAAATTCAACCTAATTATTTGGCCGGCAAATACCAGTTCTTAACCCTCCCAATGGTGCCCGTGTAGTCGCTCAGTATCCAATGGATATCTATGATATCAGGAATAATTGCATTCAAATTGAAGACTAAAGTAAGCATGAGCATATCTAAAATCAACGACTTCTCATCAATTTCGAACCTACATTTCTCACGCGAGACCCACAGTTGGATTTTGTAACATACCACCTCGCCTCAACAACCGACAAAGGTGTCTGCCCAATTGCAAACAGGAGCCACCCCAATTGCAAACAGGAGCTTGCCTCATTCATTACCGACCATCACCCACTACCAATTTAGGACGATACGTATACCAGCAAGGAGGAAATCAAGTCATAATATACAAAGCTCGGGTCATAGTTTATGGGGGACTGTTTCTCTAATGGGGCCATACTTCTTGTTGAACTACAGGCGACCGGGGCTTGAAAAGAGATAAAGCAGAGACCTCCTGTTGGAATAATAGGTCTGATATTTTCGAGAGATTTTCGAGATGTTTTCGACCTTGGAACGCTTATGGGCGCCAAGAACGAGATTTCGGTTAAATAGTCAGGAGGGCTTCTATTGTCGATGAGTCAACGGCACTCCCCAGCGCCCTGGAAGGCACAAAAGTAGTTGGGCTAAGCTACCTTACAGCAATCATGCTCTGTTAAGACTTTTCTGACATCTCAGCACGACCTTCGGGAAGGAGTTGGAAGGAGGCTAGAAAGGCAGAGGGTGAATTTCCCGAGGTACCCACAAGTCTGCAGCGCCCAGCTGGCCGGCCTCTTCGAACGCTTCAGAAGGGTCACTATGTCTTCGGATTTAGTCGTAATGTCGGTATTAGAAGAGCCCCGCACCCAGTGGTTTTTGCGACTTTTCCCGGCTGCCATATACCCGCAAATGGCCATCGTTTCGTTGGCTGGAGAGGGGAGATAATGAAGGGCAGAGGGCTCCTCTAAGTGTATCATTAAATGAAGAATTGTGAGGGGTAGTACTGTTTGAGGGGAGCTATATGAGAGGTATGTAAGGGGGTATACTACTAGTATTGGTATCCTTGGCCTATAGACAGAGAGGACCTGCATGTCCTTCATAGTCATAGACTCAGACAGGACAAGCAAATAAATTAAAAAACCACTGAATGCAGTTTGTTAGAGTTTGCCACATTTCTTACAATTATCGGTATTCCTTGCAAATATGAACAACTTTCCTACAAGCTGCCTAATACATCCTGTACCCTACATTTTAGTTTCTTTACGCTCTTGAGATATTCTCTCATGCATTTGCATGTGCGGGGTAGTATGATACTAGATGCAAATGCAGTGAGAGATATGGTCATGTTTACTTTGCGACAAATAGGATGGCGTTAATGGTGCGGGGTCAGTACTGTCTTATTCCCCGCATAGTGGTTTCGTGGTCAGCTATGCTGAAAACCTTTTACCGTAATAATTATTTTTTGCATACCCACTTTAACTCTAGGATATGCGGACATAAATTCGCGTTTTACATGTAACTTAGAACTTCAATGGAAACAATATTCTTTGAGCTATACTTTCTGCTCCTCTTACTATGAAATCGCAACACAGCTCCCATATTAATCACAGGTGTGAAAACGGCTCGGTACACTCGGATGGAAAATCCAATCTGAATATATGTGGACCGCTCGTCTCGAATATTGACAGATTAGGTACAAATTATTCAAGAGGAAAAGTTGTGAGACGCTGTTTATAAGATTTAATCAAGTTAATGCGGATACATTCTGTCATCACGCGTCATCTGGTAGTACTTAATTACAACTTGGATTTTGAGTTACCAAGCATGAAAAGGCATCATATCAATGCTACTGACAACTTACCAGTCACAGACTACGACCCCACAAAAAAAAGACAGCTTTGCCCCTTTTATGTTGCTATGGAAATTGATATCACTCTTACAAACTGCTGAAGGCGAAAAAAAGCAGTGAAGTCTTTTTTTTCCTACCATACTTGTATCACGCCCCACTCCTCGTCTCCCCGGAAAGCTTCAAGCTGCAAGGAGCTCTCGTAACTTCCCTATATTACCTGGAATTTAGGCATTTCATGGCTGTTATTAATTTGAAGTCCTGTGCCTTTTTCGTATTTTTGCAGAGTAGCCATGTCGATTTTCACGTGCTTATTTAAAGGCGAAATCTGTTGCGACGTCCGCCCCTTCTAACCACTGCCTGTTTCCAATATGTCGATGTCTTTTCCAAAATCGAAGCTTCTGATGTATTTCATGTACTGATGTCCTAACCTGCAGGTCCCCAGATCTTTGTTTGACTTCCTAAATCCTCCTCTATCGGCAACCCCCTCCGACATGATTTGATTGAATCGGTTTCCGCCTCTTTGGCTCTTAATTTTCGTAATTTCTGTTCAAAAGCCGCCATAACTTGTTCGGTTCCATCATTATCTGATTGCAGGCTGCGACATTTCCCTTGCAAACTCCTCCTCTGTTCTGTTTCAATATGGACTTCGCGTGTCAAGTGAAATTTGCATTCCGGGTGGAGCTCATGTGCAACTTCTGAGCAATGATCGAGTATAAAATCAGAAAATGTGGCCTTCTCGCGCCAAACAATTTCTTGAGTTGAGTGAAATTGGTTGTACATCTGTCGATCCGTCGGGCTAGCTTCTTCAAAATTCATTTTTGGATCACTATGAATAAAGGCTAAGCCCTTTAACGGTTGAGGTGCCCGGGCTGAAGGGTTAGGGCTACATGCTACTTTAGTCATCAACTCCGTCATGGCCATTTCAATGTTCAGCTTGACCATGTACGCCAGAGGATGAAATTGGACATAACTATAGGAGTCAGTCCTATCCTCTTCTATCATTCAGGCTATTACCAAGCCTCGATACTTACACCAGCGAATTATTCAAGCTCATAGTTCCGATAATGAGGCAATCCATAGAAAGAGAAAATCCAATAATGCATTGATTGAATCGCAACAAACGATCATACTTAACAAGTCCTTTCCGGACAAGGTTGGCCTGTATTATATACATAAAATAAAGGTTGAGACAAGCGTCAACGATCAGATAAATGACTTTTTCGACGTAGTCCCAAATATTATTGATAGCTTTCCATCGCTCAGTTGGATGGAGACGACCAGGTACCCCTGGAGAGAGTCAGTGTATCATCCATGGAGTCTAATTGGCATGACAAAAGCTCATTTTGAAAGAGCAAGTCTGGCTGCTTCAACTCACAAGTACAGTACATGGAGATATTGACAGCCGTGATAAAAACTGCAACACCATACTTAAGAATATTTGCTTTACGACGACTGGTTAGCAAGATAGATACTCGGTTGATGATTATCTGAAGTAAGAAGTGTATCTGCAGTGACCAGCAGGTCACTAAAGTCTGGTTAGAAGTTGGTTTCAAAATATCCGAGGGACAAGCGTGCATTTCATACCGGTGATAAATAAAAATGCGAGGCTGTACTCATGCCAGAGTTAGTTCAATTGAAGATTTAATTGCGGAACAAAGATATTTACCCAGGATATATCACACCCACCAAATGTAACCAACATATCACGCTCAGAGTGAGACAGACAAGAATTTCGAGCCAGATCATCCAGATGTATGGGGAATTAAGACGAGAGACACCGTATCTACGATGTACGAGGGCTGTTTGCTTCATTGCTGTCCTATAGAAGCATTAATATTAGTTGATGCACGACCAATATCGTGATATAGAAACAGACCACGTCGTCAGAAATCCAAAGCCCATGGTGAATCCCCATGCCATGGAGGCTATGGCAAGGTCACTTCTTGTGATCTCTGTCGGGTTGCGCTTACTGCATAGCTGAGCGAGAGCCTTCATACTGAGCCAACTCCAACTGTCAAATGACAAGCACTTGTTCAACCGTCGATGTACATTGATCCATCAGTTCAGGCATGAAGCTGCAGAGATAGCCCCAAGAGCACTTTGAAACTTTATTCTTCATATGTGCCCATCGAGTAGCTCGTGCTTGCAGGCTAGGGGAGGTCTCCCTAAAGAAGCGATCTCTAAAGATTGAGAGCAAGTAAATCAACCACCCGAGAGATTTGGTGGGGCGAAATGTTGTCCGCGGGAAAGGTTATTCCTACACTTGAGTTGCATGAAGCCATGGATCTGAGAACAATCCTTAGCGTGGGAGTCGCCGGTGAACAACCGTCTAAATCCTGGCCAGGGTTCTGACTCGAGAACATTCAGGGCTTCCTTAATTACGATTAGTCAAGAACAGTAGATGGCAGGCGACGGTAGCAGCGGAAATTCCAGGGAATCAAACAACCAGAAAGATTTCCTACCCTAGACATCCATTATGTAAATCCATAATATTTTGATAAGTTTGGTTAAACTAGACGATACACCTAGCTATTATACACGTCCAAAAATTGACATAAATATGCGTTGAATTAAATTGCGCGAGTTAGATTTTAAGGAGTAATTTCCATGCAAAGTTTTCTCGGAAAGATAGCTGATCTGATTAATCGCCTGAAAATGTCCATATGATTTGCGACCTATCTGTGCCAATATAACGTCAACTGTATTTTAACCTTTGGTATCACTTCATGACAGGTTATTACTTATCAGACTAAGTCACAAGGCTTATCAGGACTTGCTTCAACTACACAACGTTTGGTTAAATCGCGCCAAGCATACTGTAACTCTGCAAGTTTTCTCTGGCGCATCACTTAGCGTATCATGGTTCAAGAAGAACCTATTAAACGTAGGTAAAATATAAGAGTTTGTTCTAGGCGAAATACTAAAAATTATATTTTCTGAAATAGGCTATGCCACATCTCTTCATAGTATCATTGAATCCTTTCCAGCCCTTCAATACGTGGATACAGGACAACGTATTTTTCGACTATTGGTTGATTTAAAATCCTCATATCTGAATTTAGTCGACCTGTACTTTACTTCGTCACTATATTTGTTTCCTCTTCGGCCCCCAGGATCTTGGCTACAACTCAGATTGTGGAAAATCACAAAGATAAGTTAGGAAATTTAGAGATTAGATTGTAATATTTTCTCGGGTATCTGTAATAATGATGGTGCCGTTTTAGATTCAGGATGTGTGGCATTTTCTAGCAAAGCTCAACAATACGATTTTATCAATCAAGACAAGCTCTTTTTAGCCGCAGAGGATCTGCTCTGCAGATCTTTATTTGTAGCGTTTAAGACTTCTGACTTTGTTCGATATGCTCTGATATTCGTATTTATTTCAAGAGCTTTTAGTATCTTGATGAGTTTATCCTTACTCTGACTCTTGTGGACCCCATCGTGGCTATTGGCTCCTATCCAGGTAAGCTAAGGACGAAAAAAATGAAAGTATTTTATGCGAGCAGCAAGACGCTGCATTAAGTCCAATGTTTCAATATCTCGGCAGGTAGGTTTTATGGCTATGAAAAAATTGGGGGATGACTGCCCTCGGCAGTGAAGCCAAATCGCCGATGTTCAAGATAATACTTATGACAAAGAATGGATTCGACAAGGTTGTCTGTATGGCGACTCGACATTATATTGGATTTTGTGTAATTTGCTCCGAGAGTGCGATTGTTAATGGGTTATTCTTGTCTTCAATGTACAATTTCGCCAGTCTGAACTCACGTATTCTCGAAAGATGGCCATGCTTAGACTCTTAGAATTAATCTGACTATCATATCTTTAGGAGTTAATTTTAAATGGAAGGAAGCATTTCAATAATAAGATTCTGTCTTTCATTAAATTCACGTAATAGGCAAGTGACTTCTCTGTCCTCCTGCCGTACTCTATTAACTTGCGTCATGCAATGATTTTAGATAGCAGAGTGTGAGCAGAACAGGAGTCATGATAATGGAGGGTCCAAATCGTAACATGGGTGGTGTTGATAACAAAAACTGTGAGTTACGGTGTAGGTGTTTATTTGTGTTTTTATTGTGCTACTTTAGTCAATGACTATCTAGCACAATTACGGTGTAGGTACATTGACAGAATGTAATAAAGTTTACAATGTGCGAAATCTTCGTTCCTTGCTAACGCCAATCACGTGTCATACATTTGTCCCCAGCTGGCATGTGGGGCTAGGATTAGAGGGCATCCAAAATTATCCCCAATATGAGGGATACGAACGAGCCAATCAAGATTAGTCTCCGGCCCAGTCATCTGATTAGTCAAATCTGTGTATAATTGTATCTGCCTAGTAATGATATAAATTTAGATTCGTCGCGGGTAGAGGCCGACTTAACTTGGCAGTCCTGATGATAAGTAGGGGACGCCTCGCTGCATTTCCACAAATTTGGCCTTGGAAAGTAGGGTGGTGCCATTGTACAGCTGTTCAATGCATTGGCGCGTCAGCTACGTACCAATAGTGATCTTATCGCCGTCGGAGAGATATGAGGAGTCCGATCGACCGACATCAGTTGGCTGAATGTCAGGTGACATGCATCTGCTGAGAGCCTACCACAAGCCATGTGCGGAGTTTCTGACTCAGAGTTAGGCGAGACTGACAGGCTATGAGGATTAATAAAGCTTTTGCGCTCGACGGGATAAGGTATTTGCAGAGCCCAAATAAAAAACGAGTCATCAACCATCTCCCAGGCTGGATACACACTATCTCATTCCTAGAGGGCCCTAGAGGGGAAAGATGGAATCGGAAGTGGAACCCTCCAGGGCCCACCCGAGTTGGTCTCGGAGTCTGCTGTCTCGGCATCGAGGGCCTTGAGATTAAGTTCTCACTCGAGACTTAGCAATTCTACGTAGACTGCAAAGGGATGGATAACGATGCCATAAGATCATAGAATTTATATGCTGACGAAGGCAAGACCCTCAGTGTCTATCGGAAAAAATTTAAAATAAGCCACATATAAAAACAAGTAAATTTTGGTAGCATTAATCTGATTCTACCAGTCCCTCATAGTCATAGACTCGGTAGTGACTTGAATTGAATTCTATTCTATTCTACATGCTGAAATCGACTCATGCCCGTGGCCAATAGGGTAGACAGGTTGTAAAGCTGCCCGACGCTGGGGTTCCTCCTGGTATGCTTGCGGATGACTCGCCACGCGGAGAGCCAAGATGTTCAATGACATGAATAGTTATGGCGTATGAATAATAGTTGAACATAAATACTAACTTTGATATAGGTCCTGGTTTGATAGCTCACAATACACTATACGTCTCCAAAACCTTGTCTCTCTTTGTACAGCCACGCGCACCACTGATCTCACCTACCTTGACAACTCCGATTGATGTGATAATACTGTACAGATGTATGCGGTGCACTTGTTATGAGGGCAAGCTTACGGGTGGATAAAGATATCTCCAAGACAATACTTGATCGAGCTGGACGTGCAAGCACTGATTGCGCAGGGGCATGTTCGGAGACGGAGGAAGGCTCAGAGAGCAGGTTTTTTTTTTTTGCATCAGATTTGAATTGCGTATGCAGCTATTTAGCTATGACACAATATCAAAGAAAAGTACAGAATAGATGATTCATCGTTAAGGAAGAGCACTCATGCCTCGAATTTCATTTGCAAGTACCACTGCGAAGTTATGGCGGCTTTTTCTTCACCCCAAGTCAACCCTCATCCGTGAATACCCACCCAGAGGAACGTCTCAAAACCCCTGAGTTATCCAGACATGCCTCCATCAACTTTTCTCCGCGCGAAATGTAATCTGAGATGTCTCCTTCCCAAGGGGAGTAGGTGCCCAGGCTACTCAAACTATACCAGAAAACATTACCAGGAAGCGGACCATCACACCTTCCATCGTTGGCTTTTGTTTATAGTGCCAGCTGCATTCTCGCAAGCGAAGTCTTGGCGCGCACAAAGCTCAATTCGTAAAACTCTTTGCCAAAATCCGGAGATTCACGCCCTTCGAGGTTATATCCTTCCTTTGCATCATCTTATAAACTTGTCCTGATCCCTCTCAGGTCCATCCCAAAGAGCTGTCCCCTATATTTGTGCGCCACGCTTTGCTACCTTCATCAGGTGTAAATATCGGCGTGGGCGTGTATTTGGTGACCGGCTGAGGCCAGAGAAAGTCGACAAGAGGTTTGATCATTGGGATGAGGATGTACTAGGTCGTACTTGTAGACTTGATGAGACTTAGGTAGGAGTCAAACTCGTTGGGAGCGAAATAACGACGTGGAGGAGTAATTTGGATTTTTGCCTCGTGGGCCAACTTCTTTGATATTGCGAAATTTGACTGAACTTGGCTCTAGGAGAATATTTCACTCCTAGGTTCGTAGAGGACACCGCGTACAGGTGTTCAGTCTTGCCCTCCGGAGCGGGTTTAGAGCTAAGTATTGCTGACATGTCACTCGGCTACATGTCTTCCTCGTGCTATGAATGAATTTACTATTCAATTATCCTGATTTGGCGCTTTCAGGCCCATGCAGGGATTTCGGAACATATGTATTCTATGTAGAACGACTTAATTTGATGATTAGAAGACTCACATTTAGATTTCATATGCAGATACCACTCGAGGTTAAGGCTTACGGAGCATAACCTCTTCCGTGCATCCCCATCACAGGAAAAAGCTTATAACCCCATGGTTAGCCGAGCGTGCTTCTGTTACCCCACAAGTACGATATCACCGCGAAAAACTTTGATTTGTGGGATCTCACTGGATTTGAACCAGCTTTTTTCCTGTCTCAAATGGGGAAGGTTAAGGATCCAAGATTGACAGACCTCTAGATTAGTACGAGGCTCTAATAAATTGTAATGCTTATGTAATGTTGTTCATGTTGGAGTCCGGGCGCAAGATTAGGAATACTGTACTTATATAGACGATACCCTGTATTAATAGAAAACCAAGTTACATCTAGTCTTAAGCTCTACTATACATATTGG